GGAGGCTCATGGCTTTCTGTAAATGCCCAAATGCACAAGATGGCAGCAACCGCGCCTCTTCTGAAGAACCTGGAGCAGCATGTCACCAGCCACGTGAGTACGGCCTGCACGGTTGCCGCAAGCCGTGCACAGGGGGGCCATGGCTTTCTGTAAATGCCCAAATGCACAAAATGGCACCAACCGGAGAATGTGGACAGGATGACTGTGCTTTGTGATGTGTCTTTGCTCTCCGGAAATGTTCTTCCAGCTTGCTTTGATACCTGGTGGCCTTTAGCACGTTTACTCTGTGTTGATGGACGACTTCTCGGAGCCCACGCGCCTTTCTTATCCACCTTTTTTGTGTCTTAACTGGTATTGGCTGAGGTTTTACCAGGCCTGAAGTACCTGCTAGGACCTGCTAAAATGCTTCATAGTTTCCAGGCTACTTGAAAGGGGCCTATGTGCTCCCAATCTTAAATGGGCTGTACTTCAAAGCAGTTTAGCAGTTTACAACTCACTTTCAATTGCTGTACAGCACAAGTCAGCAGCAGCAGCATTGCCTCGCGGAGATTGGAGCCGCAATGCCCTACAACAGCTCCATGGCAATTTGAGCCAATGCAACAGCGTACAACAACTTTTGGGACTACACAGTCATATTGCAATGTCTCTTGTTCTCTATGTAAGGTGAGCTTTGAAAAAAATCGACACTGGTTTAGCTCACCTGTCACAAGAGCTGCTGTATGATTTGCAGCAAGGCTGTTTGCCTAGAATCGCAGCAGGAAAGGGCATATACCCTCTCAGAGAAGTTAACGAAATGAAATCTATGCCCAGTTCAGCAAGGAGAGGAACCAAACCGCCTGATGAAATGCCAAAGCACGCCTTGTACTATGCGGCGTTTAATGTTCTTCAATCTCTCCCTTCAATCGCTCACGCCACAATATTTTGGCCTGGTGATTTTGGTGCGTCTCATACACTGCCAGTGGCAGCGGTTTCGTCAAGATTCGGAGATCGCAGCAGATTTGCAGCTAGAAGCAGGTGTTAACACTGGCTACATGCGCAGCACACTTGGTACATTGTACATTGCGCTGATAAGCTTTGGACTCGAAGAATTCTGGGAGCATCACTTCCTCGCCGCAAGCGTAGACCAAAATTTCAAACTTGGAAGACTTCGGAAGGGTGATAGAATAGCTTGTTACTGGCAGTAAGGCCAGGAGCCACTAGTAGCGTCCTTGCTCCTAGTAGCGATGCCCTTTGTTACTAGTAATGTCAACTCCGGATTAATCTGCCCCCCCCCACGTAGAAGGTCAACAAGGTCAAGAAGGTATGAGATACCACTCATGAGGTCCACTCCCCCTGAATTATCGGCTCAGGGAGCCATCGTAGTCGCAGCCGTCGTCGGTAGTAGGTAGTAGGTAGTAGGTAGTGCGTAGTAGGTAGTAGTAGGTAGTAGTAGGTAGTGGGTAGTAGGTAGTAGGTAGTAGTAGGTAGTAGTAGGTAGTAGTAGGTAGTAGTAG